TTCCGTTTAAATATACATCTCCTTGAAATTTAAAATGTTGTATTTTGATTTTGTACAACAAAAATCGTTTGTTGCATTTTAATATATACATTAAAAACAGACAAGTTACGCGGATATTTTCTACAATGATATTGTGGTTTAATAGAATAAATAGTTCTCAAGAAATTGAAATTGTCAAAATGGCGTATACGGTATATTATTTAAATGTTTGTTGTTTAACTTGAATATAGTACTAATGAATAGAATGTGAGGAGTATGGGTAAAATTTTAATAAGGCTTCTGTTAAATATTGGGCGCTGTTTATATTCAATTTTCGACAGAAACGCGAGACATAATCAAATGCATTCACGTTTGTTGTTATATGTCCAGTGTTCGTGTACTTATTTCATTTTAAATTTATTTTTAAAAAAATCCTTAAAAAAAATATTAAAAAAGGAACAAGAATTTTTGTTCAAACACAAAACTTATTTATAATTTACAAATATTACAGTTATATCGGCAGTGCAAATTACGGGGTTAATCTTGAAATATTTAAATGAAATTAAAAAGTATTTTTTCAATTAAGTTAAAGACAAACAAAATGGAACCCTGAAATGCTTTTACCCATGCAGATTTTTTTTTAAACCTTTTCTGTTTCCTATCTGATAATAGGGAAGAATGAAAAATACTTTCAGTTTGCTTGGATAACCTTTTTAATACTCACCTGAAAAATTCATCAATTTTTTGTTCGTTGTAATAACCAAAGTGAAAGAAAAAAATGTTGTGTTATCCATGAAACACTGTTTTCTTGTTTAATTTTAGTTCATCTGGTTTGAAGTAGAATCGCATTTTGTTTCCGAAATGACTTATAATCGAGCACACCCTTATAAGTTAATTAACCTAGACTAAAGAGTTATAAACCTAGAAATTTATCTAGTTGTACCATTTTATTTTTCTTAGACGATTCTACATCCAATATTTATCAAAAAAAAAAAAAAAAACACATATAATCCATTAACATATATAAATAAATATAAAATATTTTTTATTATTCTCTCCAGACATACCACTTAAAGACACAAACACATATCCAACCAATCCCACTACAAGAAAGACGAACGTATCCAATGACTTAAAACATAAATCTGTATGAACGATTTTCAACATTTTTTATAGTAATTATTAGAACATAATCGCCCATTCTCGTCCAATGGTAAATCAGTATTTTCCCTTCTATTTTTCATAGTACATGGCTTTCCATGCACTATAAAATGCTAAACATGAATGACTTTTCGTTGTAGATTTATTATGAAAGTGAATGCTTAAAAACTGCACCAACGAAGCGTACAATCCCCTGAAGCAATTTCCATAGGAAAAGAGCAAAAGAAAAAAAATCATGAGTACTGTTGTTTGTCTAATTATTATAAATGAAACCAGGAGAATAGAACTATAAAAGCATCTTAATTTGAGATTTCAACATAGTAAACGTTATATATAATGGTACATTATATAGAACAACAACACAAATTGAAAAGGGGGCAAAGTGTAGGTAAAATAATATTTAATCTAGTTTTTATACGAGACCTTAAGAAACAATGACTGTTGATAAAAAAAAAAAAAGAAAAAAAAAAAGAAAAAAAAAACATTACATTTATCAATAAAAAAAAGTAAGCATCTGGACCCGTATGCATAAAGCTGCTTAAGTTAAGATTTTCCTTAGTAAACACTTACGTTAAGGAAACACCGCCCTTTTTGCCTAAGTGGTATGCATCTTAAACTAAGTATCTCCTTAGTAAATTCTTAGTTGGTTTATGTCACGCCCATAAAACTTAAGTGGTATGCATAAAACCCCTCAAACTTAGAAAACGCCTAAGATTATACTTAAGTATAAGGTACCTATGGAGCTACCTTAACTTTTAAAAGATAGATGAAATTCAATCGAAAGTATGCAGATTTTGAAGAAAATTGATTGTTAACCTACCATTGAATTAATTAATAATTACATCTGAAATATTTCGTTTGTTTATTGCTTAATATTAATAATCATTTCTGTTTTCCTTAATTCACGTTTAATCAACAAAATCAAGAAATAACAGAGGGTAGTTGTATAATTTCATTCTACCCGAATGTCTCAATCTCGCTGTTGTGTATTCCGAAAAGTACTTACAATGTTTACACTCATGGAATTCATGTTATTATTTTTCTTTCGATTCGTCTATTCGTGGATGCTTACATGAATAACATTTCAACGTTCTATTGTTAGAATACACATTCTGGTAGTATGGATTGTTCATGCAAAAAAGTTTGAAGGAAGCGATAAAGATCTTTAGGCATGTGAAATCATGCTTTCTGGGATGGGGGACATTGCTACCCAAGTATCAAAGCTAACTTACTAGACAGAAATTTTAAACCCCATGGTTTGTTTTATCAAAGAATCTAATATATCATATTCTGAGATTTCAACAAACGATTTCTTAAAACATTTTTTTTTTTAATTCTAAATAATTTATTTTAAAGCTGAAAGATCAGTTTGTCTATTTGACTTAATAGTTTTACATTGTATGATTTTTTTTTTTTTTTTTGCTCTTCTCTACATTTTTTACTTTACCACTTTCTGTACATCAAAATTTTCAAAATCTTGGCCTTTCAATTGAAATTTGCCTATACCATTTGTATTTTCTGATACAAAAACCATTCTTATTGTGTGTATAATTGCAATACAAATATTCCCTTATTCCTATGTATATTTATTAAAATTTGGCCTTGTGTTCATTGTCATTCTCTTAACTAAATCACAACCAAACTTAAATGACAGACGGGCATGCAAATACCGACATTTACAAAACACTGCTTTCAAATTATATCATAAATGTAAAATGTAAATCCAATATAGTTTTTTATTATAAAATAATCAAAACTTAATGAATGTTTTAAAGAAAATGTTTGCGTTATTTCGCAAAGGTTGGCGTTATTTCGCAAAGGTTTGATTTAGTTCGTAAAGGTTTAGGTTATATAACGCAAACATACTTAGGAAGAAATATAAAAACAAATGTATGGCGCTAATACGCTTCCGTACGTAACCCATCCACATGAATACGGATTCACATGTGGTCGAATTATTTTACGTGCAAAGTCGATATTATATCAGCGATGTTTTTGAGCTTATTTTGACAAATTTGTGTCAAACTACATGTACATTTTGTAACTGCTTATAACGAAAAATTATTTCAAAATCCCGCTTTCATTAAACTTGAAACAAAAAGAATCGTATTTAAAATGTTTGTCTCACTCGTAACTAATGCCCTTTTAAACTGTTAAACACATTACGTCTCATTCTCGTCCATGATATAAAACAGTCATACATATACGGGCTCAAACACAGAAATTCAGATAAAAACATAAATAAACGTCAATCTACAAAACATAAAATATAATCAAGTTAATATCAAATATTATAAATAGACATTACTTTTCACACAACAACAAAACACTTTCTAGATGAGTTTTTTTCTTTCTTTTTTATTTGGAGGGGGGTAATAAAATCAAGATAGTATTACGGAGTGTGTTACTCGTCGTAAGGCAGAACTTCGAATGATTACATTATAATTTTTTTTAATCTATATGAAACGGCAAGCACGAGAAACACGAACCACATCTTACGATATCAAACCGAGAATAGCTGTATAATTCGGAGAATTATACCTGCAATGCGACACATTACATCCAATGAAAACTAGTATAAACATTGCAGTAATTCAAAAATACATGTTGATGTAAACAATCACTCGCGTTTAACCAAAACAAATACATTGTGCTTCTGTACTTTCGCAAACATAAAAAATGTAATCCCCAAATGCGCGCAAATATAATACGCCCATCGATGAATACTATATATAAATTATATAGATTTTTTCAAATGACATCAAATTTAATGCTACTTTTTTCATCCAATTTTTTAATTCAATATCATCTTCAGTTTTTAGTTCAAAGGGACGAAAACGTCCGAAATGTATAATAATTTTTATTTCCAAAGCAACTTTTAGAAAAAATTAGAAAAAACTCGTATTTTGTCCATAGTTCAAGCTACAAAAGAAGCCTAAATGCTTAATTTGGAAAGTACATTTGTCTATATCTTTCCCTATGTAAACGTGCTGCTTTCGAACTATTGTATGTCTACCGAGGTCTTGGAATTCCTTAACAGTACAATACAGGAAAGTTCTGTAGATACAATTCAAAGAAAGTTTTAAAACAAATTTTGTTTATTCCTATTTGCTATATCCCTTGAATGAAAATAACAGTCTATGTACTGTATGCGTCCGAAGCGCTTTTCTGATTGTACCTTCATTTATTACGCTTAAACCAAAACATTTGAAAGTCAGTGATGTATGATTAAGCCGAAACTTTAGGGGTTATGTGACCAAAGTTACCAAATCCATCTAAGGTCAACGTTGCCTGAAGGAGTTGGAACCTTCTTTTTTTTACAAATTTTCTTAATTTGTTAACGAGGATGTTTTGCTTTTAACTAGTAAATAAAAAAATACTGAATTTACTATAATAGTAAAATAGATAAGACTCTGAATAATTGTAGAGGTGCACACCTTCATGTAGTAATAAACAATAAAATCGATTTCAAACATTTACTGTGTAATTTGATGCTATGTCGGTACCAAAATTATGATTATAAGACAGGTGTGGACAAAATTGACCATGACCAGAATATCGATAAACGAATTCAAAACAATGACTTTGAACAAGGAGGTGGAGTTTTCGTCAAAACGTTTGAACAGTTTTATATTAAATGACAAACAGTAACATGAGTAATTTGTGAAACCGCTGAGTGTTAGATAAAATTTCTGTGAATTCAAAGGACAACTGCACCCAACCTCTCTTTGAATGCTTAAATTCAGAAGGTAAGATTATACTTCCAAAAATCATGCGTAATTAAACTTTCAATACAAAAAATAACCCAACAAAAGCTCTTGAATAATAGGACTGTGTAAAAATATTTCTTTCATTTTCAGGTAAACCAGATCCATTGAAAGATGTAAGAATTAATGCCATCGGGAAAAATGCTAACATTTCGTGGAATATTTCATTAAATGAGTGGAAAACTACAATTATTAGTCTTTACGATTCAAAAGGAGACAAAGTTACATTCGATTCCTCAAACGCCTATAAATATGTGCCTTTTCCAAATACCAGCTATGAAATTGTCAATCTAACGTTATGTGCAGAATATGTTGTCAATATCCTATACAAAAACACTGCAGGACAGTGGTCAGATTTCACCAAACGAAAGTTTTGGATGACAAGTAAGTACATTTTTTCCTGACTATATGTGTTATCTCTTTAAATCTAAAATGTTCAAACGAACATAGCTTATGAATTTAGAATAACATAAGTTTATGAATTCAAGGTTTGAATTATTTTCGATTGATGTTGAAAATTTATTTCATTTAACAAACCCCTAACACATAAAAATTTTCGATTTAGTATCTAAGCTTGTCTAAATCAGATGCGATACTACAATAAAAAATATTGTATAGATGCCATGATATTTTAATTCGTTTAATGCAAAAAAAAAATTAGCCGTTTGAAATTAGAAAACTATCCTTTCTCACATCACAACAGTTTGATGAGACCCTTAAGACATCCACATCTTTCAATAAAGTCTCTCGAACAACAATTCGGAGACTAAATGCTACTGCTCAGTTATTCTTACTCGCAGATACTGCATGCCAGATGTATTGAAGGTATATTAATAGGCTTACATTTTGTACATTTGCATACAATTTTTAATTTCTGCATTGGGTCTATTTACGTGTACTTGCGGGAAAAAAATATTTTAAGTTTAATGGTAAAAGTTCCTCTGATAAATGATAAGTTTATATTATCATTAGAAGACCTCCGAAGAAAAGGGGGTTTCGAAATCCCCGAGCCAATATTTTGTGAGGAGGTCTTTTAATTTCAATATTAACTTTTAATACTGGCTTTAACGGTCTAAAATGTTGAGAAAATACAGAAGAAAGCTCTTGCATCAACTTTTATCCCCTATATTGGACGAGTGAAATTGGATTGAAATCATATGATAGATAAACAGTACTCAACCAGGGGCCAGTTTCACAAAGCCGTCTTAGGACTAAGATATGTCTTAGGATGGTCTTACGACATATCTTAGTCCTAAGTGGGTTTCACAAAGTGGTCCTAATTTAGGACATCTCTTAAAGTTGGTCATAAAGTTAGGACTACACGAGAGGTGTCTTATGATGGTCTTAGGATAGTCATAAGTTTATTTTTATGAATTACACTTATTTTTTATATTAATTTTGCAAATTATGTTATTATTATTTGATTATCTAATCTCCTTGTTCTACTCGAAACAAAATCTTTATAGGTTGGGGGATTATCAACAATGATTTATCAACAATGAACATTCGATTTATTTATATCAAAAATGCACGATTTTATCCTTTAACCTTTTTATAACCGATACAGTGAAAACTTGAATTCAACTCACTTGTGCAAAGTCAAATAATCATCAGCTTATTGTTTTTTTTTCTCAAATTTTTATTTGAATTTTTATATGCATATTGGTGTATTATTAATAGATTATTTATATAAATTAAACTAATGCTTTATATTAATTTTACGAAATATCTAATTCTGGAATGTTAATCAATACGTTAAGTAATTTATTGGAAACACATAATACATTTACATGAATTTTTCCATGAATCCATGTTAATATTTAAAAATTTAAAGAACTTGCGACAGGTTTAGGATATCTTAGCTAAGATCATCCTACGACAGCTTCGAGGCGTGGTCTGAGATATGTCCTAGGATAGTCATAAGAGGATCATAAGACATGTCCTAAGATATATCTTATGACAGGTCTTAGGATAGCTTCGTGAAATCGGCCCCAGATATATAAACATAACAGTTATCTAATTGCTTACAAAACGGACCGATTGAATGGCAGTTATATGAATTGTTTTTATTTCTTATTATGATTGATCTGCCAAAGGTAAACACCGTAGGATGTTATACAATTCTTACAAAATTGCAACTTCCTATAATTGAACTTCAACTTTTAAGAATAATGTTTTTTTATGATACAAATGAGTTAATTAAAATCATTTACATATCTCATTGACAAATGACCAATGAATAATCTGCCCATTCGAGTTTTTATTTTGTTATGTACGTAATCGGGAGAATTTCTGTATAACCAGCATAATTTGTTGTCTTATGTACCCTTATTATTTCACGATTGTGCTCATTTGTTCCGTAAACAAAAAATTTCATTCGCGATAAGTTCTTATTATTCATTTGTATATTTTTCTTGGTGCATCTTCAGGGAATATCTCCATTTTTTTTTATCTACAGGGAAAGTTTATATTATGTCTAATTGTCTCAATAATTGTAATTTCCATCTTCAATATCAATTATCACATTGTCATTTCAGTATTTTTTTAAAATTTCATTCTATATGGTTTTATTTCAGAATTCATAGTATTTATATAAAATTATTACGATTTTTGAAAAGAAACTTAATTCACACAAAAGCAGAAATTTTCTAACACTAGGTAAATTTCGCGCAAACACAATACGTTTCGTTGTTAAAATTTTTTCGCGCAAACGTAACGCGCCGAATTTATGGTATAAAATAATGTTTCTTCCTGTTAAAATGTTATAGCAGGTTTTGGCGACGATATAACAAATATTGCTATCACTAAATAAAGATATAATATTACATTATTTTTATCAGACAAACTTGAAAACTGATCATTATAGACTACAGTATATCAATATACATGGTATGCCTTGGATGTTCATATGATGGACATTTTAAAAGTTCACGTTTTTCATCTTCTAACATTTTACAATTAAAACAAATGTTATCACATTGTTTTTTTTTTCTTTCAAATCGACCAGTTGCAATGTCTAAACCCTTAAAAGCAACACAATGATGTAGTGACATATTCTGTAGCAAATATTTCTCAGTGTTATAAATATATTAAAAAAAGTGTATATGTTCTTAATTTATTACCATTACTATAGGTTAAAATTCTTGTACTCCCACCATTTTATATCTATTAAACATGGTCTCTTCTATCTGAAATTAAGTATAACTATCAAGTACATTATCACTTATATTACAATATCTTTCAAAACCATAAGATTTCAACCTGTCCATAACTTAATAGCAACATTTTTTTTTAATTTACAACTGACTTTTATCACTGACCATTTAAAAACCTAGTAAGTTATTATCAATTCTATTGCTTTCCATATTTGTATATTTTGACTAGTGTCTAAAATATTTGTCCACTGTTTAACTGGTGGTTACCAATCCATGTCACCATACACACCACCATAAGGGGTATATTTTCCAACGCCCATGTAAAACGCATGACACGGTTCTGCACTACTGTGATGCATTAAACATCTCTAGTGCTCCAAATAGACGAACTGACAGACCTGACCATCGTATCAAACAATTTTGTGTAGATATTGTTTTTTTTATAATGAATTTTCTTTCTTGTAACAAATAGACTAGCACAACATGTATGAATAAAGGTATACAGAATGGCATATTCAAAGCAAGGAAGTTTTAAATCAAAAACAACAATTGAATATATAATGATGTAACATTAGGTTAAGCATAACTAATTATCTAAAAACAATGGAATCTTAATTCGTTCTTGGAATATCTAATTGAGGTGTTTAAATCAAAATTGATAAACCAAAATCCGACATTTATTAATTGGTCTATAATGGTGATCCAGGGACTCCAGTATTTGTTATATTCCTCTTCAGAGAGGTTTTTAAATGAAATGAATTTCTCTAAGTTCACGTGTTCCTTTAAATAATTTTTTAAAGCATTTAAATTTGGCAATACTTCTTGTAATTTTGTTCGGTAAATATAGAATTTTGTAAGCAAAATAATCTTATTTTAACAAAATTCAATTTAATATTTTCGAAGTTACCAAATAGAATAATTTTGATATTCAACATGTTCAATGGCAGTTCAATATTTGTCATTTCAAAAATCCAGTTGTTTAGTGCATGCCAGAGACTGGAGACCATATGACAGCTCCAAAATATATGTTCTGTGGTCTCTGGTTCTCTTCTTTGCAGAATTTACATATATTGTTACTGTTTATTTTTTCGTCTTGTAAAGTAGTGTATTAGTTCCCAAAAATTCTATGGATAATTATTGGAACCAGCAAAGCTTAGTGCTTCTAGTATATTTTGTACACGAAGTGTGTATTTTTTTCCAGTTAGTACCAGTCATATTACGATGGTTTTTCCATTTTTCCTTTGCAGCAAAAGTAATATATTTCAATACTTCGTACATGTCCTTTGAGTGCTATTCCATAATAATGTAAAAAGTTTGGTCTAAATTGATATAGTTGTTGGAAATTTTGAAAAGACATAATTTTGCCCTGGTTATCTAACAAGTCATGCACTGTCGAAATTCCAGCCTTAGCCCAGTTTTTATAATAAACACTTGAACCACCAATTATAATGTTTTCTACCTCCCATAGAGGATAAGATAGAACTTCATCAATACATCTCGGGTTTTTAATTTGATTAAGGGTTTTCCAAGCATCAAAAACCTCTTGCCAAAATTTTTTTAATGACCTTTTCATGGGCCCAATGTAACTTATCGGTAGTTCAATAAAATTTATTTGCTCCACAATAGAGACTAATCTCACCCACTTTGAATTTGAGTTATACAGCCTTCTTATCCATGTAAGTTTCAGTCCGTGTATAAATGCTTTTAAATTTACCATTTTTAAACCACCAATATCATATTGTGTAGATATTGTGTTGGAAACCACCATATGCTTTACATTTAACAATAAGTAGACCTAGTGATCTACTTGCTGACCTGCTACAGCTTTTGCCATCAGTTGGTAGTCTATAAACTCAGTTACCAATAAACCTAAGTATTGATAACTTGAGATATACTTTTCTTAGAGTGACTATTAAACAATTCTTATTACACCATACATTTAATACTTCTAATATGTTTTGTAAATCTTCTGTATTTTCTGACATTAAAACAACATGCAAAAAATAAAATTTTACGTAAAGCATCCATCATTCATTCCTTTGACACGTCTAAATTTAAACGACCGTGAAAAACGAAAATAAATAACGACATTATCATAACCATTATTATATTTATTATTTTTATTTTTATAATTATCATTACTTTTATTATTATTATTATTATTTTATTTTCCTCTTCTTATTTTTTTCTATTATTATTATTATTATTCTATTTTTTCAAGTATGATTA